AGTATTGGTGTATATATATATATATATATATATATACACCAATACTGTATATACATACATACATGTATTCATCTATGTTCCACAGAATGGATCATGTTTTTTTTTTAACTTGGCAGCAGTGCTTTCTTGTGTTAAAACATAATGCTTCTCATCAAAATGAAACAGTATCACTTTTTGCTGTCGATTAAATATTTTTCTACCAGCCGTCTGGGTTGTATGCAAGATTCGGCCAGTGGTGAGCACAGACTTTTCTGGATTCCCAGTGTGTATTAATACCCTGTTCTTGTTATCGTGACTTCATAAACATCAGTGTTTGCAAATGTAGATGAAGTAGTGCCTTTCTATCCAACCAGTAGACTCAAAACACTTTACAACACAATCAGCAGCACAGCACTCTGTATACATCTTTACAAAGCTTGTCTGAATAAATCCTTCTATAGAGTCTAATCACATTCTTACACCAGTGAGGCACATAGGAGACAATAAGGGTTTCAGGGTTTTACCCAGGGTCACTTTGACATGTGAATCCAGCCTCACTAGGGAGCACAAGCCAGTGTATCGCTTGTGTCTGTCCCAAGCTCGGGTACATGGTGCACACAGAAGGCATCAGACGTAAAACACTTTTGCTAGAACTAACATGCAACTCCATCCAAACAACACCATAATGGATCGGTTCAGGTCTGGGTTTTGAACTGGTGCTGTTGACAAACAGGGTGCCAGCGGGAATTGTGCTGCTGTTAGTCGAAGACCACGAGGAGGGAAGCATGTCGGGAGAAGAGGGAAGTCAAGAATGTAGGACTGAGGGTTCAACTCTAAATGTGGAGACAATGGCAGGCAAAGGTAGAGAACAGGCTGGCATGATGCAGAGAAGGAAGGTAGATGTTTTATGTGCCCTAGATACCAAGTGGAAGGGCAGCAAGGCTCGCAGTACTGGAGCAGGGTTTAAACAGTGGTGTATTAATATACAAACAGGGTGCTGGTGGAAATTTTAAATCTTTAATGAAACCAGGATGAGGAGTTACAACAACATTTAATTTCCCTCTGGGATCAATAAAGTATTTTTGAAATGAATTGAATTGAATTGTGCTACTGTTAGTCGAAGACCACGAGGAGGGAAACATGCCAGGAAACAGAGGGAGAAGAGGAAAGTCAAGAGCGTAGGACAGAGGGTAAAAACTAAACATAGGGACAAGCCCCACCACCCCCACCACCCATAAAGATCATGACATGTAATAAACTAATAAACAGTTGTATGTGTTTGCACGTGACATATTCACTGCAGTTGGGGGAGTCGCCAAAACATCATAACCCCCTCTCCCCGCAGTACGGCCTCCTGGGACTTTTGTAACTAAAGTTTAATATTGTATTAAATACTAATGCATCCAAATGATCATCATTAGCAAACAGACATGCCTGATTTATTCATGTTACTAAACTCCTGCTAGCAGAGAGCTGAGGATCAGCCACTGCTGGAGCGCGCACAGCCTGTTTGAGTGTCCCTCAGTGAGACTTGCTGTTACTGCTGTTTAAATCTGGAAACTCAATATTCTCTGTGAGAGTCAGTCAGTTTATAGTTTATCATAAATATCTACACATTTAAAAATTTTTACACATGAATACAAAAAGGTTTTTTGGCTATTTGATGTACTAGGTTTGATTACATTTGGAACCATACTATGACAGTAAGTTCCATCCATCCATCCATCCATCCATCCATCCATCCATCCATCCATCCATCCATCCATTATCTTTTACCCGCTTCTTCCTTTTCGGGTTGCAGGGGTCACTGGTGCTTATATCCAGCCATCGCTGTGCGAGAGGCGGGGGACACCGTGGACATGTCTCCAATCCATCACAGAGACACATAGAGACAAACGAGACAAACAACCATTCACTCTCTCACTCACACAATAACATGCATGTTTTTGGTCTGTGGGAGGAAACCGGAGTACCCGGAAAAAACCCACACATGCACAGAGAGAACAGGCAAACTCCACCTAGAAAGGCCCCCCGGACCGGGATTTGAACCGGGGCAACCTGCTCGCTGAGAGACAGCAGCTCTACCAACTGCACCACCGTGCTGCCCATGACAGTAACTTATCTTTAAAATACAAAAAGGCCAGAATCTTAGATTAAATGCTGTAGTTATAAGCTGCACTTATGGGTTTAAAAAGCTCTTACTGTTTATCCTGGTATTGATTTCAGGTCGGATAAACAAACAAACATTTCACATGACATTTGACAAAAGATCAGTTTTTAGTTTTGAACGCCTGTCTCTGCAGCTGATCTCATCCCTCCCGACTCCATCCTCCACTTTGACGTTCTGCTGCTGGACGTTTGGAACCCAGAGGACGGCGTTCAGATCAACACGTACCATTTACCGCCCGTCTGCTCCAGGAAGGTGGAGGTCTCTGACTTCGTCCGCTACCACTATAACGGCACTCTGCTGGACGGGACGCTCTTCGACTCCAGGTTTGTTCGTTGTTTTATATCGATTCATCCGCACCAAATATCCCACAAAGACGAGCCTGACACGCCTGTTCTCTGTTGTAGTCACACTCGCATGCGCACCTACGACACCTACGTCGGGATCGGCTGGCTGATCGCCGGTATGGATCAGGGGCTTCTGGGGATGTGTGTCGGAGAGAGGCGCATCATCACCATGCCTCCGTCACTTGGCTACGGGGAGAACGGAGATGGTGGGTGTTTGCTGCTTTTTCAGGACGTTTGTGTTTGACTGAACCCCCAGCAGGTTTGTGTGTCAGAAATGACATGGATCACAAAATCTGGTGTGATCTGTTAAGAGTATGTGTTGGGGATGACTCGCAGCTACTTCCACAATAAAGTTTAGTTAAATTCCAGTAGAAATGACTGGGGTTGAATAGCTGTGGCAGCCATCTTGAAATAAAGTTGACTCCAAGAGTTATAATTCATGAGATATTTTGCTTACAGACATACAATGCACACACATTTTCTTTTTAATCTGGTAGATTTTTCATTTTAAATAACGCCACCAGTATCAAACAGTTTTCTGATTCGTCACAATTGACTTTTTAAGTAACCTCATTATTTGTGCTTTTCATCGTCTGTCCGTCAGGAAGTGACATCCCCGGTCAGGCGTCTCTGGTGTTTGATGTTGTTCTGTTGGACCTTCACAACCCCAGAGATGGAATCACGGTGACCAATCAAATCGTGCCGGAGTCCTGCACGAGGAAGACGGTCGCAGGAGACTTTGTGCGTTACCACTACAACGGGAGCCTCCTGGATGGGACATTTTTTGATTCCAGGTGTGTTCATCTGAACTATCCTGATGCATGCTCAATAATCCAGGTAGAAAAATCTAAAAAAGTTAAGTCAGATCCTCTGGACATTCAAAAAACAAAATCTGAACCGTTTAACCGCTGCAGTTCCTCAAGTGGCCTCAAGGTGGCAGCATCTGTCTGTGTATGAATGTCTGTAGAGGAGAAACGAAACTAAACCAGATGAATTACATAATGCTGCTTTTTATTTTGTTGTGATTTGCGTAATACAAGTTGTGCAGACAGAAACAAAGTGTAATAATATATATTTTTTCTTATGTTCATATTAAGGCAGTTGGACACTGAGCATTCTCAGCACGACTGTTTGGTTTTGTTTCATTCTTTTTTTCAGCCAGTTTAATGCAACTTTACGTCACAGGACATAACAAGAAATCTGCTTTTATTATTGCTTCTTACATTTTCAGAGTATGTGATCTACTGGTGTATATACAATTATCATAAGGGATCATAAAAAGTGTTTTTTAAGGGTAATATTTTATCAAGGCGTCTGCTTAAATTTTCTGAGCCAACAGATTTTTGGAGTAATAATATTCTCTGCTTGACAGTTACTCTCGCAATCGCACTTACGACACGTATGTGGGTCAAGGTTACGTGATCGCCGGCATGGATGAGGGTCTGATTGGAGTCTGCGTTGGAGAGAAACGCACCATCACCATCCCTCCACATCTCGCCTATGGAGAGGAGGGCACAGGTGTGTGTAATTCCTCTAAAGAACAAAAAACATGTTCATATGTTTAATAATATAAAGTAAACTGATGTATTTCTTTGGCTGATGTTCATCTCTCAGGCTCTAAGATCCCAGGTTCAGCTGTTCTCGTGTTTGATGTTCACATCATCGACTTCCACAACCCTTCAGACAGCACTGAGGTCACCATCACCTACAAACCAGACGAGTGTGAAAAGCAAACCAGGAAAGGAGACTTCATCAAATATCACTACAATGCCTCTCTGTTAGATGGAACACCCATCGACTCCACGTGAGTAAATCACCAAAACATTTTAAGTAATCAACCCCACCACCCCCACTTAGAAGAACTCCTTTACTCCCTACACTGATTCACTTTACCGTCCTGAATCCCGGACACAAACCACTAAATAAACTTTTTTTTTTTTTGCAATGTGCCATCTGATAATCAGCTGATGGGATTACAAATAATTAATCATAACAATATGAATTTAAAAAATCTGATTTTGATTGATGTAGATGAGCCTTTAAAAGCCTTACACTTTGTCAATATGAATTTAAGGAATACTTTAATTGTGTGGATGCTTATGAAGCTTTCATACTATTGTGATCCATTTTTCTTCTTTTCGGTTTTCAGCATCTTTTCTCATTCCACAATTTTTGTGCTATTTCAAAAAATCAAATCAAAACGTTCAGCTCTTTCAGGAGAAGGGTGCTATGACTTTTGGTATTGATGCAACTTTAACTTTTTGAAATATTTAGCCTTTTCTGCCATTTTGTTCCTCATAGGAAATGAATTGAGCTCATTTAACATCCTTCAAATCTTTAGATGTGTTTACAACCTTTTACTGCTCCTTTCACATTTTGTTCTGCTTCAACTTCTTTCAGCTTCTTTCTGCAAATTTAAACATTTTTTCAGCTACTTTCAGCTGCTTTTTCAGCTGTTTTGTGCTGCTTTCAGATTTTTTCTGCTAACTAAAATTTTTTTTGCTTCTTCTAACTTCTGTCTGCTAATTTCAGCTTATTATGCTCCTTTCATCTTATTTATGCAAGTTTCAGCTTTTTCAGGTACTATTTAGCCGTTTTATGCTAATTCCACATGTTTTGAACTCGTTTAAACTTTTTTCAGCCTAATTCAGTAAAAATGTGCTCTCTCCACTTCCTTCTGCTAATTTAAGCTTCTTTCTGCTTTTTTTAGCTACTTTTCAGCAGGGTCTTTTTGGGGGGCAAATCTCTGCTTTTTTCAGATAATTTCCACTTTTTTGTGCTCGTTTCTGCTTCTTTCAGCCAACGTGTTCTTTCTGCTTTCTTCTGCTAATTTAAGCTTGTTCTACCTTTTCAGCTACATTGTTTTAGCTTTTTTTTTTTTTTTGGCTAATTTCAGCCGTTTTCAGATAAATTCAAGCTTGTTGTAATTTCTGCTACTTTCAGCCTAATTAACTTCTTTCTGCAAATTTCAGCTTGTTATGCTCCTTTCAGCTTTTTTTCTGCTAGTTTCAGCTTTGTCTGCTATTTCAGCTACTATTTAGCCGTTTTTTGCTAAATTTAACTTTTTCAGCTAATTCCCTATTTTTTTAGCTCCTTTCAGCTCCTTTCACATCCTTCTGTTAGTTTAAGCTTCTTTCAGCCTTTTCAGCTTTTTTGTTGCTAAATTCAGACCTTTTTATCTAATTTGCTATTTTTTGTGCTCATTTCTGCTTATTTAAACCTAATTCAGCAAATATATGTGTTCTTTTTAGCTTTCTTTTGCTAACTTAGGCTTGTTCTTCCATTTCAGCTACATTTCAGCATGTTTTTTAAGCTAATTTAAGCTGTTTTTCAGCAAGTTCTTTAGCAAAAAGCATTCACACTGCATTTTTACAGGACATGCAGTTTCTCTAGTTATTTGTAATTCAATAAAAACTAAAACCACTCAAGATTTCTTGAGAGATTTCATCTAATAATGGCAACCAGCAGTCCTGACATATGAACAGATTATAAAACAACTCAGACGTAAATACGTATGAGGGTGGGGGTGTCCAGCTGTTTATATATAGTAGACGTTGTACTTTGTATGTCAGATCTTTTCATTTTGTGACTGTGTCTATTTTCTCATTATTCGTTTTTCCTAACGCTTTTTGCATTTTGCTTCTACATATTTTGAGCTATTTCAGCCATTCCTGTATCAAAATGTTCGGCTCATTTAATAAATAGGTGCTATAACCTGTTGTTTATTTATTTATTTTTTTACTTTTGTCATTTTCAATACATTTATTTTATTTACAAATACTTCCCCTTATAAATAGAGATTTAAAACCCATCAAAACATTGTTCTCTGAAATCTGAATGATATACCTGTACATTTACTTTTTTTTTTTTTTGTCTTCCCAAGCTAATTTTAGCTTTTAGCTAGCCTGTTGCTACTTTTAGCTTTTAGCCAATATTTTGCACCTTCTAGCTAGCATTGTGCTACTTTTGGCTTTAAAATATAGATTTTTTTTTCATATTTTAGTTACTGTTTTGCTCCTACTGAAGAGGCTGTTCTAAAAAATAAAAACTGTAATAAAGAGACGACTCAAATGATAGCAAATCATGGTTTTATTGTTACAAACAGCACTTTGGACAGGCTAGCCGAACATTCAAAAATCACACTTGATGCAGTTTTCAAGGTCTTGTTATCACTAACATCCCCACGCACACAATATAATGGAGACAGGACGTTTTAGGACCATTCTGTCCACTTGCTTTCCTAGTCCTCCCTTACCATCAGTTTCCCTTTGTATCGTCTTTTGTTAGACTCAACTCTCGTATAGGTTCACCGTGTTCAAACTATTCTTAGGCCCCCCTCCTTTCTTACATGATCAGATTCAGCTAGTGTTTATCTTTCCTCCCTTCTGCCTACGGCTCAAATTATCGCTGAAGGGCCACATGTTGCACATTCGGCCTGACCTTTCATCTACTTCGTTTCACACTCAGTAGTTCTGCTTCCCCCCACCTGCCTCAGGGTTACACATTTTTGAGTGTGTAAGCTCTAACCATAATGTTCAAAGCACTTTTCCATGTCTTCACTGTTTCCCACTGTTTCTAAAAGAATCGCACGCATTTCTTTCCTGAACCATAAACTGTGATAAACCACTTTCCCTTCTCCTCCAATAAATAGTCTCAAAATTAGGAAGGCATTCTTTCCTTTATTAACTTTTAGCCACTTTTCTGTTTATTATTTTAGCCTTAACAACTCGGTTTCAGCTTCTGCTGCTAATTTCAGCACAGCTGGGTTTTTGAATAAAATGAACTGTCTATTTTTTACATAATTAATTTGTCACTTTGTTAAAAGTGTTGATTAACTTTTCATCTTTACATTTGTTTTGCACGTTTTGATCATTTTACATCAACTGTCAACAATTATGTGTCTTGTTGGTGTTTTCTGTTGTAACAAAGTTTTTGTCTCATTGTGGGACAAACATGCAGGAGGTAAAACGTGCTGTGTGTGTACAACCTGTTATCTTTGCCAAGGGCTAAAAAGGGACAGTAGGAGTGTTTTCATTGTTACAGGACCCTGAGCGAGCATAGTGGGTCAAACCTGCACCACCGACCCACTCCGACTAGAACAAATAGAAAGCATGTTTCTGTAACCATGTTGTGGAAAGATTACTGCATTAATAATATTATTCATCCCTTTTATGTGGCAGCACGGTGGCGCAACTGATAGAGCTGCTGCCTCTCAGCGAGCAGGTCCTTGGTTCAAACCCCGGTCCAGGAGCCCTTCTGGGTGGAGTTTGCATGTTCTCCCCGTGCATGCGTGGGTTTTCTCCGGGTACTCCGGTTTCCTCCCACACACCAAAAACATGCATGTTAGGCTGATTGGTAACTCTAAATTGTCCCTAGGTGTGAGTGAGAGAGTGAATGGTTGTTTGTCTCGTTTGTCTCTATGTGTCCCTGTGATGGACTGGAGACCTGTCCAGGGTGTACCCCGCCCATCGCACAGTGATTGCTGGACATGGGCACCAGCGACCCCCGTGACCCAAAATGGAACAAGCGGGTAAAGAAAATGGATGGATGGATGGATGGATGGATCCCTTTTATGTGTTAAAACATTTTATTTAATTTTAGGTCAGTTACATTTACCTCAACCATTTGTTTTTGTTTTCCACTAAACCCTTGATAAAAATCTTACCTCAAAAAGGCATTTTTTTTCTAAGAAACATGAACAAAACAAACAATTTTCCTCATATAAAAACACCCATATCAAGGGAAACATTCAAATTTGTGCCATCATGTTGTTCTTGTTATTGTTTATGTCAGTGTTTGTCAAACTGGGGTCCCCGGACCACCGGGGGTCTGCGAGTTAGTGCTTGGGGGTCTGCCAAAAATAAATAATTATTTTTCATTTTTACAAGCACATAGATGTTTAACGACCTGTTAAAATACACCAAAATGCAGGAAATCACATCTACTTTATTCATAATTTTCTGGGGGAGGACCCTCAGACACACACATCCCGCCGGCCCACCCGCTATTTGCCTTCTGACATCGATCGATTTACAAATTAAGTCTTGTTACTTGTTTTGACTGCTGCTGTTATGATTCTGTTCCGTTTTATGTAAAGAGTTTTCTGTAATAATTTGAAGAAGTGACAATACATTTATTATGTTCATTATGTGAATAGGTACAGTTTTAAAGTGGTTTTTGATGCGGATAATTTTCTTAAAACTGTAATTTTTGGAAGTTGAAATTAAAAATTTTGTTAATTGTGTCTTGAATGAAAAATACCCCATATTTAAAAGTGTAAAAAATAGTATTAACACTATTAAAAAAACAGATCTTAAGTATTTATGTTGCACAGATTGCATTAAAGAGACAAGTTGAAGAAAATTACTTAATGAACTTAAGGGTTATGAGGGCGTCCCTGAAACTAAAAAGTCTTGGGAACCCCTGACCTGACATCTTATGACTAAAACTACATTTACTTTTCATTTGTCTGTTTATCTAAATTTCTTTCAGGCATAATTATGGAAAGACATATAACATTGTTCTGGGAGCCAACCAGGTGGTCCCGGGGATGGAGGACGGACTGCTGGGCATGTGTGTGGGAGAGAAAAGACACCTTGTTATTCCTCCTCACCTGGCCTATGGGGAGAGAGGAGTCAGTAAGTCGCACACTCATACAAACACAAATGAAGACATTTATTTCTCTAGTAGTTTATCTCTGCTGGTACGTTATAAGAAAGCTGTAAAAATAAATAATGAGACGGTTGTTGTTACGAACTCCTGCCTTAACTTTCATGTATAAACTGGAGTTAATAATGAGCTGACGCTTAAAGGCATAGTTTAAATCTTTGAAGTGGACTTCAGCGACAAGGCCAACCAAAGTGCTGTACAGACAGAAAAACAGGCAACACACAAAGCAATATATAAAATGAGGTAAATCAGAATACGGACATAAAAACGATGCAGATAATATGACGACTAACCAGTGTGGAGCGTACAGGTTCAAAACACAGATCCTCTGGTGTTGAAAGCTACTGAATAATAGTGGGTTTTATTAACCGTTAATATCTTACCTGTTGTAGATAGCTCTTTGAACCCTCTTGGTCCCTCTTATAAATGAGTCCTCGTGGCTCAGTGAGAGTAACCTGTATAAATAGATGTTGAATGAACGGCCTCAGTTTGGAGAAATTGTTTAATTCTTAAAGTTGCAGATCTTCTGGTCCTGCCTGGGACACCTCTTGCCATCAAGATATTTTACTAGACCCCATATTGGATCATGGATGTTGAAGCTGGGATAGGAATAGCATTTCAATGGACTGGTCCCAGCATATGTTTTAAGTCCTTCCCCATCTAAATAAAAAATGGGATGTTGTCCTAATTAAAATAACCCCTATCTCAGATCTTTTTTTTTTTTCCAGCTGTTGACTCTTGCTTTTACCTTGCTGCTGTTAGTTTAAATCCTTTTTTCTAACGTGTAGCTGCAATTATACTTTCATGGTAAAAAAAAAAAATATATATATTATACATTAATTGTACACAGAACAATCAGACTTGAGGTTCGCTTGTGCATTAGACTTAAGTTGGCTTTCTCATATTTGAGGTAGTTCAAAGAGTTTTCCTGAACAGGTAAGATATTAATTGCTTGTAACTGTTTTCACAGAATCCCACATTAAAAGACCTGAACTATTCCTTTAAGCCTGTTTAGTTTTTGTTCTTTAATAATGTTAATACGCTTTTTCCTTGAAAATTAAATGCGTTCCCAAGACGCCTGCATAATTTCCATAATTTCAGTGTTGCTGCTGTTTGAGTTGTTTGTTTCATACTAAGGTCATTCAGATGCTGTAACTTGCTGAACTGTTTAAAACTGTAAGCGTCATGCAAATAAAAATAGATGAATGAGCACGGGGAGGTTTAAATTTTAATTATACTTCCAGTGCCTAATGGATTATATTTCACATGTCTTCATCCGAGCTCTAACCAGATTACAGCTCTACATCTGCCTGTTTGGCTTTCTCCTATCGTGCAACTGTTTCTTCATACAGTTCATGATCCTTTAAATGACTGCAGCTGACTCTTGTATTTTGTCGTAGTTTTTAAGCATTTTATCTCTGTATATCCAACTTTTCAGGGTAAGAGTGCCACAGTCTTGGCAATAGCAAAAATCTTCTTCGCACTGAACGGCATGAAAGACGCATTAACCCCATCAGTTTTGTGTCTGTGTGTGCAGCTGATGAAGTTCCAGGAAGTGCTGTGATGGTGTTTGATACTGAGCTGGTTGATATGGAGGAAGGCCTTCCTGAAGGCTATATGTTTATCTGGAACGACGAGGTGTCACCGGACCTTTTTGGAGAGATGGACAAAGACAAGAACAACCAGGTGGAGCCCTCGGAGGTACGCAGTCATCTACTTTTCTTACTGTTGTTAAATGTAAATCAACATAATTAATTCCTCTGTTTGCTTTTGACTTATTTCCTCGTTGCCTCCACAGTTTACCGGCTACATCATGCATCAGGTGAACGAGGGCAAAGGCCGTCTGGCTCCCGGCTTCGACCCTTACCGCATAATCGACAACATGTTCTCTAACCAGGACCGCAACGGAGACGGAAAGATCACAGAGGCAGAGTTCAAACTCAAAGCAGACGAAGCTGCGAGTCACGATGAGCTATGACGGGACGGAGGGGGAGAACGGATCAGGGGGAAGGAGGAAGGGTCAAATAGTTGAGGGAATGGCAGCGTAAATATTGTAGGGGAGGGGGGTAGTTTTTTTATTTTATTTTGTAGACTGTTATTATGATCAAAAACAATCAAGACTGATGGGAGAAAAGTGTGTAGGATGTAGAAACATAAAAATTATATTAGGAAGAAAGATTTTTATAACATTTAATTTGAGGACTGTGATGGCGGTGACTTTCCCTTTTACCTCCTTGTTCATCAGGTCTTTGTTTTATGTGACTTGTATTTTATTTTGAAGGGTATAAAAGCACTCCTGTGTGAGCGAACAAGCCAACACTTTAATCCATCCTCTACAATCCTCACGCTTTTGACTTTTCCAGAGTTGTTAAACTATTTTTATATTTGACTGTCTTCCTGGAGAAAGGTGTCCAAGATCGTCTGTTTAATGCGAAGGCACAAAGCAGATCAGCATTTTATTTCAGCTCATAATTTTCACAGTTTTTTCGTTTGGTGTTTACTGCTGTTCACAGTCATCTACAGAACACTGGGAGGCCTGATGTCCTCACGTGTTGGGGCTTTGAAATCCTTTCAAACGCGTTTGGTTGCTTGTTTCTGACTCCAGATCTCAGACGCAGATTAAAAGGTTGCGTGCGTGATAGACCGTGACTTGTTTTATGTGCTTATGTGTGTGTAAAAGAGAAATGTATGTGATATTTTGTTGTTGTTATGTTTAATTCACAAGAAAGCCAAGGCTTGATGGTGATAAATTTCATTCCATTAAATGACCTGACCTTAAATCGTCTTTTCTTTTGCTCTTGAACATGTTCATTTGTCTATTTATTTTATATGTGGTTGATTTTGAGGGATTCAAAATTAAATTAATTAATATTTACTAGGACTATAGTTCATCTTGGTTTTAATCGTGTTATTTTTGCCCTGCAGCCCAAGTCTTGGAGAACTCTTATGCTGGTTGATTAGTTGAACCCAGTGTGCAGACAGATGCAGGAACTCAAAGATGAAAATAAAGAATTTCTAATTTATTAAATAAGGAACACAAAAGTGGGCAGCCCGGTGGTGCAGTTGGTAGAGCTGCTGCCTCTCAGCGAGCAGGTTACCCTGGTTCAAATCCCGGTCCTGGGGCCTTTCTGGGTGGAGTCTGCATGTTCTCTCTGTGCATGCGTGGGTTTTCTCTGGATACTCCGGTTTCTTCCCACAGACCAAAAACATACATGTTAGTCTGATTGGTAACTCTAAATTGTTCCTAGGTGTGTGAGAGAGTGAATGGTTGTTTGTCTCTATGTGTCCCTGTGATGGACTTGTGATCTGTCCAGGGTGTCCCTCGTCCCTTGCACAGCGATGATGACATGGGCACCAGTGACCCCGGCGACTCGAAAAAGGAAGAAGTGGGTAAAAGAACATAGATGGAAGGAACACAAAAGTTTGGTGTGGCAGCAGAACTTGCATACATCGAGGGATCATGGAGACAGAGGAAGACAGAACATAACGCTGTACAAGACAATCCGTGGACGGGAACAATAAAGGAACGCAGAATATAACAACATGCTAACAAGGAAATAATTACAAACACCTGGGGGAGGACAGTGAGGGACAGGTACAACAGGAGTTGGCAACACAAGGGAAGCACGCTGAGGAAAAATGGACAGAGGACACAAGAAAATCACACATAACACACAGATCCTCTTCCCCACTCTGTCCAACTGCTGCAAGATTGTCATCCATTATCTTTTACTCGCTTTTTCCATTTTGGGTCATGGGGGTCGCCAGTGCCCATGTCCAGCAATCACTGTGCGAGGGGCGGGTACACCCTGGACAGGTCTCCAGTCCATGACAGGGACACATCTCTCTCACTCACACTTATGGACAATTTAGAGTTACCAATCAGCCTAACATGCATGTTTTTGGTCTGTGGGAGGAAACCGGAGTACCCGGAAAAAACCCACGCATGCACGGAGAGAACATGAAAACTCCACCTAGAAAGACCCTCGGACCGGGATTTGAACCAGGGACCTGCTCGCTGAGAGGCAGCAGGTCTACCAGTTGGGCCGCCGTGCTGCCTGTGGTGGAATCCACCTTATTATAATATTATAGTTATTATAGTCATTAATGGTTGTCGGACGCATGCGTCTGCTGACGCAGTGGCTGGGTCCAGTTTAGCTTCAGGTGGGTCGCTGGCAGGGATCCATCTGGACTTTTTTTAATCGCTTTTAACCGTTGGATCATCAGCCGCACGTCCACTGATGCAATCAAAAGCCCGACACCGACCCGGCCCGCCCATCCAGCACATTATTTTGGCTCAGCCCGACCCGAATTTCGGGTTGGGCCAGGGTTAGAAATGACAGCTCTACGAGCTGCTCGACTGCGACTAGTCGACTAGTCTGTTCAACCCTTAGTGGGATTTAGAGATAGTTTTGCGTGCACTAGTTAAAGCACCATTTTTACCTATAGATCAAATATTTAAGTTTCTGTTGTTTAAAACAGCACTTCTGTTAGCTCTGACGTCAGCAAAGAGAGTGAGCGATTTGTCTGCACTGTCCGTGGCTTCTTCATGCCTCAGAATCCAAGGAGACAGCAGCTGAGCGGTGCTGCGTCCAAATCATCTCCTGCTACGTTGTGCTCTCAGCTGCATTACGCAAATCTGAGCACTTGTTTGTGCATTTCAGAGATCAGCCTCAAGGACGCCCTCAGTCTGCTCAGCACCTGTCACACTGGTTGTGCGAGGCATATAGCTTTTCTGGACCTCAGCCTCCAGACGGGCTCAGGGCTCATTCCACTAGAGGAATTTCAGTCTCCATGGATCTGCACGGAGCAGTATCAGTGCAGGACATTTGTACTGCTGCGTCATGGTCCTCGCTGAGTCCATTCATCCATTTTTATTTACATGATTCTTCTAGCTTTTCCCTGACTCACTCTGTCTGTCCTCAGAGTTCTGTCAGAGTGACAACGCAGATGTTTTCACTGAAGATCTCCAATCAGCCTGTTCTCACAGCCACAGGATTTGATCCTCCAGCCTTCAGACTGACACAGAGATTATACTCTTTCTGCTGCTCAGCGCGTCTCAGGCGCACAGATTCAGCGGTGCATAATCACACATGAACCAAAGGATCAATATGGATTGTTTCAAGCAGATACCTGTGTGATTGTGGTTCTGAACTGACACAGCAAGGCATATATAGACTACATCCTGCTTCGCCTTTAACCCACTAGTGATAGCCTAAAAGTGCAAAGCCTATACGAAACAGAACGTTGGTTACGTACTGTAACCCCAGATTCTATGAGTTTAGGTGCAGCCCTTTAAAACCTGGGCCTCACTGGTAAATGGCTAGAAAAAAAAAACATTATTGGGAGTTGGTCTCAGGGCATTTTATACAGATCAGGGTGGGGCCCACACAGCAGGTGGGCGTGGATCAAAGTTTTCAGTGCTGAGCTGTGTGCGAGGGGTAGAACCACTAGCGACAACCTTAAAGTGCTGCTCCTATACTCATAGAATATGGGGTTACAGCACAGAATCAGAATAAATGTTATCGTTGCACCGAGATACAACGAGAATATGTATGTAAGGTCATCCGAAAGATGCACGTAGTGCACAAAGCTGCTATTATAAAAAGCGTGGCCCTCATTATTCTTATTCAGAATAATATTTTGCTTAGATGAGAAAAGGAAAGAAAACATGAGGAGAGACGGTACAAAAAAAGATCTCTCACGCCGTGTCCTAGACAGGGCACGATTTGAGGCATCAAATAAACCTACCACATACCCATAGCACATAAATAGACATTATACATGAACATATAGGCCGGTGAAGACATTGAATTCTTAAGGGAAAGTTGGAGCATAGTCCAGAGCCCCTCCTCTCAACCATTGTCAAGATAAGAGGTGACATTCATCATCAGCTCGGTTGAGGTTCTGTCACATGACCACGGCCTTGGGGAAGGCAGGGGTGAGGAGACAGACAAAGCATCTTTGTTTTTGTTTTTTTCAAAGCATGCCTTTTAAAGTCTCGCTGGTATATATTCCTCTGATGGAAACTTCAAACAGCCGAATTGATCCTTTACGCCGAAAGTCGAGCTCACAGCTTCTCCAAGATTATTCCCACCTTCATGTGCGCTGCTAGAGAGACCGCAGTCCTGATAACAGCTGTTCCAGCTCTCTGACACAATCGCACATAATTCAGTCTGAGCACTGTCAAGCTTCGACACATCCACACAGATTTGTAGACAATCCAGAATTCACCAGCCAAACAGCAAAAAAAAAAACAGTTGTCATCATGAATCCAATTTGTTTCCATCGAGGTAAGAGGGTCCTCCTTACCCTGACTCCTATCGAGAGAAGTTGATCAATTTTGTATGTTTCTTTTTCAGCCTTTTTATCTCATCTTTCAGTTCTTTCATTGTGCTGCGCAGAGCCTCAATTTCATCCGACCAGGTGGACAGTCCCTCTTCAACATCCTTAACAGTCCGTTTTACCTGGTCAGTTTCTGTTCTGAATGTCGTGTTGCTGTTAGCCACCTCCGCTCTCACTGCTTGAAGCTCACCCACGAGATTCACTGCAAGGGCGGCTTTCGTTTCCGATTTAATCACCGCAGAGATTTTTGCTTTTATTGAAGCCAGAATGTCCAAGTTCAGGGTCGATACGTCCGTCTCTCTGGAATCTGATGTGGGTGGAGCTGAGTCCTTGGCTTTAAAAGTACCATGGTCCAAGGTGGTGTTGGGCCCAGTGGCCACAGAATCCATATACTTATCTTTCTTCAAATTTGTCGCCATTATACAGATTTGCCAAATCAATTAAATAACAATGTTGAATACTGGAGCAAAGGTAGTGAGAATATCTTCATGTAAGGAAGTTCTCAGGCAGTACTGGCAGGAGCTTGTTAATATGAGCATACACCAACGCCACCATCTTGTCTTCCCACAGAAATGGACTTTTAACATGGCTTTGTGTAATGTGGTTCTGTTTTGTTATGGTTAGCGCTTACACACTCAATTATGTGAAATCTTACAAAGAAGAAGTTGTGCAATGTTGTGCCATTAGAGGCCGCTGGTTGGATAACAGAAAAAGTTGAACCCAAAATGCAGAACATTTGATGCAAAGCTAACACATGATGCCAGATGCAAACCACATGTTCATTATTAGGAAAGTCCCGTACAAAAGTCCCTATATGATTTAACTTTTTTGGATTTTTCTACCTGGATTATTGAGCGTGCATCAGGATATCCCTATATGATAGATCATGGTAGACCAATCAGAAATGATGGATGAAATAATATTGATAATTGATAAACACAATGACTTTTAACATTCTGTTGCCTCCAGTTTCCTGTTTGATAAAGCTTCTAATGGTATATCACTTACTTCTACAAGTCACACATCAGTAAACCATACCTTATCATTTTCACCATTCTCTGTCAGTGAGGTTACTAAACTGTTACAGGAAGTTAACTGAAGGAAGATGTGACCACGGCTGTCTGCACGTTGTAGCTGTAGAAGAGGAAGTTACAAATTTAGTGTGCATAATAATTCTGCAACTAAAGTGTAAAAATTGAGCACAAAATTATGTTTTTTGTTCGTTTCTGATTTTAAAAAGGCCTTTTTGAAATAACCCTCCAACTTAATCTATTTTTCTTTTTTTGTGCCTTATAATAATAAAAAATTATAACATAACAAAAAGACCACGTAAAATTACGTGACCAAAATACTGTAAATAGAAATGTTAAATATGCTTAAATATTTATTAGGTAAACAAACTATTTATAACTGTTTTTAAAAATAATCTAAAGTTTCAGTCAATCACACATTGTTTGTTTTTGTTTGTTTATTTGTTGTGTCTTCAAATTTTCTAAAACAAAGTCTTAAAATTTTCATTTTCTTAAACATGAGGGACGTGAGTTAAAAAAAAAACACGGGCGTTACACTGCGCATGCGCAGTTTGTAGCCTTGCGGCGCCATAGCAACCAGAATAGCCGTCGATCGACAACATGGTGTGTAATTTCTGCACGTTTTCTTTGCTATTTGGTGATTTAGTTGGTAGTAGCTGTTAACATCTGATTAAACATGTAACCCCCTCCATTTAGAGACTCGATGAATCGTAGCATGTAATAACGGTGCAGCTATAAGCTAATTTTATTAGCAAATTAGCTTAAATCTGGCTAAAGATCTGCTCATTTGGGGACTGCCATGCAATGGCAGGTATCTATTATTCTACACCTCGGAAGAGTGTCTACATTCCCATCTCCGTTAATGTGGCCCGAACCACAGCGTCTACCCCCACAAAAGTTATATCAAAACGACTGGCTCGGCCCCATGATGTGTGCTATTACTTTTATTGGCATTTCGAGTTACCATGGCGACGTAATTTACGAACAAAGACGCAATATTTCACCAACTCCAGGAACTAGTTGGTGACTGCCCACTTATTATTCTACACCTGAAAAGCGTATCTTTTTCCACTTTAATGCGGCCCGAACCGCAACGTGGACCCCCACAAAAGCTATATCAAAACGACAGGCCCGGCTCCGGGAAGTGTGCAATTACTTTTATTGGCATTCGCAGTTACCATGGCGACATATTTTGCTAAGAAAAATGCCAAATTTCCCCATAGGAAATGAATAGGAGAAAACTTTTCACAGAAACTGAGTAACATATGGAGCCATTTTGGTTCAACATGCATGGAAGGCACCTATTATTACCTATTATCACCTATTATTATTATTAATTAGTAATATTAATAATAAATATTCATTTTTAATTATTGATGTTAATAATGATCTATTTTAATATCAATAATTTTTCATATTAATAAGTAATATTTAATATTAATACTAATTATTGGTGCAAATATTGTTAATATTGATTATTAGTATTTTTTAATAATTAATAAATTAACAATATATAAATAATTAATAACTGTATTAATAATATTAATAATTAGTATTTATGATTATTATTAATAATAATCATTCATATTAATATTTATTATTAATAATAATTTAATAATAAATAGGCAGTCCCCGTCAAAGTTTCTCCAGGAACTTTCTAGTTTTGGAGCTACGAGCCACGAGCTCGTCCTTATAATGAACGCCATACATTATAAATGTATGTTGTGTGTAGCGGCTCAGAAGCAGAAATATAAATTACCACTGTAGAGTTCAATATCTGTAGGTTGTTTGTGTTCGCTGTGCAAGCTTGTTTTTGATAACCAGCACAGTTTTCCATCAGTTTCCTGTGATGTTTTCAGGCCAAAGCAACGACTTTGAGAGAAGCGTTGAGTAAATGGGTGAGTTGTAAACAGACACTAAACTGGGCAATATTCATGTTGCCTGTTTTTGCAGGTGTCAAGTTGTTCAGTTGAGCAAAAGCATAAAGTCTTGTGTTTGTGTACAGGAAAAAAAGACAGGAGCGAAAGCGAGTGAAGCTAAAGACATCAAGCTGTACGGTCAGGTTCCTCCTATAGAGAAAATGGATTCTTCTCTTTCCTCGCTCACCAGCTGCGAGTAAGTGCTGTCCTGATGTTTTGTCCTTAATCTTTTATTGATGTCAAAAGATCTTTGATACGTTTACTTGTAAATGTTTTAATTTATCCTCCTCAGGAAGCTGTCGCTGTCCACAAATTGCATTGAGAAAATATCCAACCTCAATGGTTTCAGTGAGTATAATGATAGTGTAAATTCTGTTTGTATAACATCACACAAGAGTGTTTTCTTTTTAGATTAAATGTCTCTTTAATTTATTGTGTGTCCTTCCAGAGAACTTGAGGATATTGTCTTTAAGCAGAAATAATATAAAGACACTTGCTGGGCTGGTAAGTTACATACAAACCATAATATTATATAAGCTACTGTATATAATCAGTCTCTGAAAGTTTATTTTTTGCTTCAGTTTTGCTCCTGTGAGTGTGTGTGTGTTTTCGCAGGAGGCTGTAGGACACACATTAGACGAATTATGGATTTCCTATAATTTGATAGAGAAGCTGAAAGGAATCAACTCCATGATGAAATTAAAAGTCCTGTATATGTCCAACAACCTGGTCAAAGACTGGGGTGCGTTACATTTTAAGCTCAGACAGTGGAATTAATTTAAAACACATTATTTTTATTGTAGCAATGTCTTCTGTTTGGTTCTCTATTTGTTGGTTGTTGTGGCAGTCAGTTTTATACAGTTTGTGTTTTCTGTTTCATGTAGCAGAGTTTGTGAGGCTTGCTGACCTGCCATGCTTAGCGGAGCTGATTTTTGTTGGAAATCCCCTGCAGGAGAGGCATGTTTCAGAGGGGAACTGGATGGAGGAAGCCTGTAAAAAACTTCCTAACCTGAAGAAACTAGATGGTGAGAATATTAAACAGTTGTTTATATGAAAATTATAAAAAATACTGTTAATGCTAATTTTTAACCAATTTTAAGATTTTGTCTATTTTAAATAAAAGCGCTTTTATTTTTCAAGAAGGCTTATAACAAATTGAATTGATCTTACAGTACAGATAATGCACCAGTTCAGAGTTTGTTTTTCTGAACCAGACAGTTTATACTGTTATATATTACATTACATATTAATCTTATGAGGATCACATGACAAGATAATTTCAAGTGGAAAGTTCTCTGTACTTTTCCCAACGTAAGTTCATAGAAATTCTTCATTACTTTTCCGAAAGATGCTCTTTGATTTTATAAATTCAGTTTTATCATCTATGACAACAATTAATCCACATCTTGCTGCAGGGTCTTTATTTAATCTCCTGGTCCTCTGGTGTAGAATGAAACCAACCAATTTGTTGGTACATTACTAATAAAAATATATGTTGAATGTAGATTAAACCAACATCTTAGAAGAAAACGGCTCTTAACTTTGCCGAAGAGTCATAAATACCTTAAACTCACATCACATACATTTCACACAATTGAAGCACTGAATGCAACATCAAATCAAATCAATTTTATTTATATAGCACATTCAAAAACAGCTGCCATTGGCCAAAGTGCTGCACATTATACAAATAGACAAAACCAATCACAAGAGACCACATAAACAAGCAAAATAAAAACAGTTAAAAATATGATAAAATTTTAAACCATTAAAAATAAAGGTAAGCGCTTATGCTTATTAAAAGCCAAGGAATACACATGTTTTAAGATGAGACTTAAAAACACAGAAGAGTTGAGGCCTGTCTGATATGAAGGTGCAGCTGGTTCCACAGTTCAGAAGCTACAACTGAAAAGGCCCGATCACTTCTGTGAACCAGCCTGGACCTCGGGAAAACTAAAAGTGGATCTTGATCATTAGATCTAAGGGATCTGGAGGGAAGCTGCAGGAGGTCAGACAGGTATATAGGATCCTGTCCATTCTGGGCCTTTATATGTCATAATAAATAAAATAAAACTTTAAAGTCAATTCTGAAATGAACAGGGAGTCAAGAAAGAAAAGCGAGCAGCGGGGAAAAGACATTTCTCTAACAGTATTCCCCAAAAAAGTAAAGTAAAAAATGGTTTAGTTCACCTGTTGTTGCATAATTAATTAGTACTATCTAACTTAGACAGCCTTCTAATGTTCACTACCAGTCATAAACTGATGAGTCAAAGAGATGCTGGAGTCCGATGTGTGATTTAAAGGTTTATTCATTGACCCGACAAAATACAAATCAGCAAACAAACCTAGAGTCAAGGTCTCAGGTAACATTCACTAACTGTCAAGTCTCAATACAACATGTTCTGTAGGTTTTAGATTCTCCTCCCCACCGAGCGATCGACTCCTCCCTGGAGACCTGGAAGGTCTCCATGCTTTTTCGTGACACCATTACTGTAGTTTCCTCTTCTCTCCCTTCTTGTGAAATACCTATAACACCATTGTTTTCTACATCTTTTCCCACATAACACCCTCTGTGACACCATTACAATGCATTGTTGTTCAATTTAAAAATATATATTACAATATCAGATCACCCGCCGATTACGATACATGAAATCAATGTTCTTTCGTGCCCCATAAACTTATTGTGAGTACATCAGTTGAAGGAAAACGTATACGGTACTTTTGAGTTTTAAATGCAGCCTTGTCAGCTTCATCCTTGTAAGTACATGCTGTCCTTTTAACCAGCTCCACCCTGATTGTTTTTTACATTCTCTGCTCAGTTTTTTTTTTGAGCACCCTCATACAGCTGTTCCAACAACCTTCACATACAGTGTCTGACAGTCAAGGCTAATCGAAAACAAACGTTTCCTAACATAATATTTTTAGACTAAGTATAACACGATGTCAGCGCCATAATATCAGTGCTCCTACACGTTACATACATCCTTTACTCATAAATAGTGAAAGTAAACACACGTATGAACTTAACAGTTTCCTGTGGGAAGCTGAATGGAAAATTGTAGGAATGTAAATGTTAAGGAAAACGACTCAGAGGTTCAAGAAAATAAAAAGCAAAAATAACAATGTTGCTTTTGAGCAAGCAGTTGTTTTTGGACATCTGTGTAATTGGTTGTTTCATTTTTTGTTTCAGGAACAGTGGTCATCAAACATGATGTGGAGCAGGGAGAAGGAAAGAGCTGAGAAGATGAGCGTCCATCTGAACGTCTTCCTTTTTAAATTTTTTTTTTTATATATATTTTTGTCATGGTGCTCCTGGTTTTGCATGAAAACATTCAAAAGGAATGAGTGCTGCTGACCAACAATCACAAAATGTCAACAAAAAATAGACACTATGCATTTAGGATAAAATAAGATTTATACATGGTCTTACAGTAACTACATGAATTGTATTTTTAAACGGAATTTACAGTTTACAGCTTGGAGGTAAAGTTCTGTTTGTGTAGCAAAAACAAACAACTTAAGTGTCCTTCATAGGAAACATTACAGCGCAGTATAGCACATAAATTAAAGAGCTCAAACTTCTTTGTGGACCAAATGCTGATCAGGCAAGAAGATATGATTAGAAAAAAATGATGTGCCTGTCAACAAAAATAGAAGATTCAGTTTAAACAGCCAACATTTTCAAGTATTTGCTGAAATAAAGCGTTATAAGAAAAATCTTACCTCTACGATGGAGTTAGGTCTTTTAAAACAAATATTCCACAAACAACAAAGATGACTTTTGGGTCCAATGTGGAGCAAACAAAGCACAATGTGACAACGTGATTTACCGTAACATCAGGGAACAAAAGGCTACTGTGTTGACATGCTTATTTGTTTCTGAAGCTGCCGTTCCCTTTATTTTTAGTAAGGTAATGCATGTAGCTTATTTTAATATCCACTGGTGTTTGTACTCTGATGTCTGTTTTGACGTATTCTGGTTTCTGTACTTACATGTTACATGTTAAAGATGTTAAATATTTGATATTTTAAATACTACTGATAGTATTTCACCTTCAATGTACTAAACAGAGTCAATATTGTGCACAAGGTTTTTAAATTTTTATTTATGCAGTTAGATCAGTCACTGCTTTTCGTAATCTATGGTGATTGACATGTTTCTTCAACAACTAAAGAACTAAAAAAATTTATGCTGAACCGTTAAATTATTAAATGTTAAAAATGAAATAAAAAGTAGGTGAAAGAAGAGTTGAGATGTAATGGTGAATCTGTATTTTTGTGCAATTCAGAGCAAGTTTTTTTTTTTTTTTTTTTTATGAATTGTGGCAAATTTAAATTAGAATCCTGTTGGAGAAAAATATTCTCGCTTACATTGTTTAGTCAAAAAGAACCACTCGACGGCAGGAGATTTTTTAACAGGTATATATTTGCAAAGTCTGATTTTCAGGACAGGTTACATAAATATACATAAACTACACACATGGACCAGTCACAAGAATCTGCCCCGAGCTGCCTTACCAGCTTGCTTTTATTCTTCAGCTGAGTTCCCACAACTGGGAGGTGCCCTCAACTGACAGCTGCTGCAGCCTCACCCAGATCTTCATGCAGCCCTCTACTATATGATTCATGGACAGAGTCAACATTTTCAGCTGTGTAATAAAAACAAACCCTTGACCAAAAATTCCCTAACAAATCCTCTGAAGCTGAAGTTCCGACATGGAAAGTCAAAAGTTTCTCTAGCGCCGATCTCAAAACCCAATTTGACTGCCTTCCATAAAGAAAGTGGAAGAAGCTGCATTCCATCCGTCCATCCATCCATCCATCCATCCATCCATTATCTTTACCCGCTTCTTCCATTTTGGGTCACGGGGGTCGCCGGTGCTCATGTCCACCAATCACTGTGCGAGGGGCGGGGGACACCCTGGACAGGTCTCCAGTCTATCACAGGGTCACATAGAGACAAACGAGACAAACAACTACTCACTCTATCACTCTCTCCTAGGGACAATTTAGAGTTACCAATCAGTCTAACGTGCATGTTTTTGGTCTGTGGGAGGAAACCGGAGTACCTGGAGAAAACCCATGCATGCACGGAGAGAACATGCAAACTCCACCCAGAAAGGCCCACGGGACCAGGTTTTGAACCGGGGACCTGCTCGCTGAGAGGCAGCAGTTACCAGTTGCCCAGAAGCTGTTTGCAATTTAATCAGTTTGTGCTCCATTATATTAGCCTTACACATGCAAACTGTGTTAGTGAGTGTGTTGCTGCAGTGTTGAAACAATTAAAATGCTAATTCTGGCAGGCTGAATCACCACCTCCGCCAGAATCTGTGTACCTCCCCCACATCAAAATGGACAGAGATTAAGAATATGATGTTTCAGGTTAGAAAATCTCATGTTATTAATCCAGTGAATTTTTAAGATGCTTTTTTATTTTAAATTAAATGGGGACACGTATTCTGGCAGACTTAGTCACCAGCTTTATTCTTGCTATGGACCACAAGCTCAACAGTAAATTAATGGCACACACACAAACTATTCATTCATTCAACCTTTATTTAAACTTTATTTAAACTACATAATACACTGTAATTTGTAGTGCTCATAATAGGCATCCTGGTCAACAAGCACAACAATTAGCTAATTTCTCTGGTTTTGCTGTGTCATTTACTCATTATCCACTTACTTTACTTCCATGTTTGTTAGTTTATAATTATAATGCTCTCAAAAAACATTGCTTTTTTAGCATCAAATGCGTATATTCTTTTAAATTACACTCTGTGTTTATGCACATCAGTATATGTTGAATATACTAGCCTTATTAAATATACACTCTAAATATGGCTTTGATGGATAATGACTACACACACACTAGATACAGCTCGATTCAGCACGCGATCCAATCAACTTGTGATCTCCGCTGTCTCGTCACATTCCTCAGCTCAGAGCTAAGATCGGTTATAATTTAATCAGAAGTTCCAACAAACAAGTCCCTATCGACTTGGGATTAAAAAAAAGATGAGATAAGATCGAACGTCTTTTGTTAAGCATAATTTGAACATAGAAAAACATGCCTCTCATAAGGTTATCCCCTACAACATGTCCAAACATCTCAGTCTGGCCTCTCTAACTTCATCTCCCAGTTGTTCAACCTGTGCTGTACCTCGGATGATCTCATTCCTAATCTTATCCATCCATGGCACTCTTTTTGTCAGCAGCACTGTCTCCAGACCATACAACATAGCTGGTCTCACCACTATCTTGTAAACTTTTTCTTTGACCTTTGCTGAGAGCTACGCACAACTGCACACTGTTTATAACTGTCTGCAGGACACAATCAAAGACAACACTAGTCAGACATGTGAAAAAGAGCACCTGTGCTGCATTACACTTGAGAGAAGCATAGGAGAACTGTGTACTCCTGACCATCGCCTGTAATTGTTCATTCTCAGCTTTCAGTTTGTTGATGTCCACAGGCAGGTTGTCACACTCGGTATCAAGTTGGGCGTTTTTCTGTTTGAGGTCATTGTGAACAACTTCATCGTGAGCAGCCTTTGGGACCGTGGGTTCTGAACAAAAGTAAAACAAGAGATAATGAGAAATTTCATCATTTTACGTTTATATCTAGAGCTGGGCGATATGGACCAAAATTAATGTCTTGATATTTTAAGATAAATCGCGATACATGATATATATCTCAATATTTTTTTCTTTCCATAATTAACAAAAATATACTTCTGAGTCAAAGTTTGGTCCCAATTGTCACATAGGCACATTTATTAACAAACAGCTGTAACTCAACAAAATAAATGTCTAAAAACATAAACTATTTACATATATTAGTTTATTTTTAAGACATTTATTTACATATAATAAATAATAATCCTCTTCAGCTGGGGGTGGCTGTAGCTGAGAAGCTAGAGCAGTTGACCTCCAATGGGAGAGATGGGGGTTCGATTCCACCAGCAGTCACATGCTGAAGTGTTCCTGGGCAAGACACTGACCCCCTCATTGGCTCTGATGTGTGTCCCATCGGTGTATGAATGTGATAAAGCTCTGATTGTTCTTAGTAGAGATCTAGTAGTGTATGAATGGGTAAATGAAGGCACAGATCGTACTGTAAAGAGCTTTGAGTGTCTTGATAAGATAGAAAGGTGCCAACACACAGTCCATTGAGCTGCGTCGTCATCACGTTAGTAAGCGTGTAAAGTGAGCCTCCACTCGGAACCGTGAAGTTGCAGCTCCGAGTGTGTTTTCAGCCTTCTTCCTTGAAACAAACCACGGGTCAGAACTCATTTAGCCGTGCTGAGCCTTATGAGAGGAACAGAGGAGGTGGCGACATTAATAAATCAGCAGCTTTTCATATCGCTAAGACACAGTCCCTCCTACAAGTCAATCCTCAGTTAATCACACATTCTCTTTTTCTCCATTCTCAGTCAGTGAGGTCAATAAACTGTTAAAAGATCTTGATCCTAAAAAATCTGCAGGTCCAGATGAACTTCCACCTTATTTCTTAAGGCTGGCTGCTCATATCATCACAGTCCCAGTGACCCACATCTTCAATCTCTCCATAAGACAAAACTCCATCCCAGACACTTGGAAAACAGCCTTTGTTCTTCCTTTGCTTAAGGGAGGAGACCCCACCTCACTGAACAACTATCGACCAATCTCTAAACTCTGCATTTTAGCCAAGGTTCTAGAAAAACTGATAAACTCTCAAAT